CGCAAGTGAATATCATGCAGACACAGTGTAGCACATACTCTCCTCTTGCTCTTTGTTCAGTACTGTTGGCCTGCTTGCTTGCAAATGGTGAACTGTAACTTGAACACCCGTCCAGGATTTGACCATCCAACCAACCTGGCTCATCTTCCGAGATGTGCAAACCCCGAAACATGCCCATCAAGCAGCATGCTCTCAGAACAAGAGTATTGCATCGTTTTGAGGAGACAGAGGCATACTGATGCCTGATCCTTATGGCCCCTACTTGTCCCAGTCCTCTGGACCCTTGGCTTTGTTTATTTGGTTGGCTAGGAAAATGGCAGCAAAACAGTGTTTCTAGCAGGCAGTCCAGCATTGAGCGTATTGTCGCATGGCATAACCATACTGGCACTTGGGTGTAATCATTGTGAACACTGCAAGAAAACGGACTCTTCTCTGTGTTGTGCAGAAATGAACAGCAACGGGCTCCATGAGGATAGGATCGTCTGTGACGCAGGGGAATGGATGGTGCGGGCTGGCTTTGGGGGCGCCCCAAAACCGTTGGCAGCCTTCCCAGACGTTGTGGGCCGCATGCGTGCCGTCTTTGGGCCGGCAGGTCGCGGCAGCCTCTTTGTCGGTGACGAGGCCTACCGCATGGCTGGCATCCTCAGCCTGCAGCACCCCATCGAAAAAAGCTCTGTGCAGAGCTTCAGTGACCTGGAGGCCATCTGGAACCACCTTTTCTATGGCAAGCTGGGTGTGCACCCTGAGCAGCACTGCCTGCTGGTCACAGAGGCCCCCCTGTGTCCCAAGTGTGTGCGTGAGCACATCGCCCAGACTCTATTCGAGTTGTACCGAGTGCCTGCCCTGTTCATGGCGAACAAGGCAGTCCTGCCACTGTATGCACACGGGCTGCAGACAGGGGTGGTGCTCGACTCTGGGGAGGGCAGGTCATGGGCAGTGCCGATATATGAGGGCCACGCACTGCCACATGCTGTGAGGTCATCGGGGGTGTCCGGACTGGAGCTCACCGACCGGCTGATGTCCCTGTTGCTGATGCGGGGCCTGCCATTCACGTCCAAGGGGGACAGGAGGGCAGTGCGTCGGATAAAGGACGAGATCTGCTACGTGTCCCAGGACTTTGATTTTGACATCCTGTCGAGGGCGACACGATTTGAGGTGGAGGTGGAATATGAGCTGCCAGATGGGCAGGTGATCGATGTGGGTGCCGAGCGATTCATTGCCCCTGAGGCGCTGTTCAAGCCCACGATAGTGGGAATGTGCGAGGTTGGGGTGCAGGGGCTGGTAGCAGAGGCCATAGGTGCCAGCGACCCCGACATGCAACAGATGTTGGCAGCCAAGATCGTGCCCGCAGGGGGCTCCACGATGTTTCCCAATTTTGTGGAGAGGCTGGAGGGGGAGGTGTCCGGGGCGCTGCCAAAGGGGTTGGCATCAAGCATCGTGTCCAAGGGGCCGAGGGACTGGCTCACATGGCTGGGGGGCTCTGTGCTGGCACAGCTGTCCACCTTTCCAGCCATGTGCATATCTCGGGAAGAGTATGAGGAGCTCGGGCCGACAGTAGTGCACCGGCGCTCGGTCTAATTGACCGATGCAGTCCCAAGATTGTCTCTCCATTTGCTGGGCAAGACATTGCCTTTGCGCCTTGCAGCTAGGCATCAGTGGGGGATGCCATGGTGCACCTGTTGTATTGTTTGGATACAAAGCCAAGAAGCCTGAATTGTGCTGGGCCCTGGGTTGGGTGTGTGAGGCAGGTGCTTTCCAGCATGGTGGCTGTGGGATCTGTGTGTATGTGTGTGTGGGTGTGTGTGTGTTTGACTTCTTTTCATGTGCACCAGTGGAAGCTTCTGTATTCCCAGGCCGGCATTTTTGCAGGGGTAGTTGCTTTGCAGGTGGGTGGGGATGGGGATGGCTTTGGGGCCCCTGGGGGCTGCGGTTGCAGTCTATTGGATTCTTTTAGACAGAGACAAGAAAATAGCTACCAATTGCAGAAAAATTCGGCTGCTCTTGTACTGTTGGTGGAGACACACTTTTTCTCAGCGGCTCTTCTTCTTGCTCTCCCTACATGGTGCAATGTGGATTTGATTATTGCAATGGTTAGCAATGTGGGTGGGTTGGGTGGGCAACGACTGGGTGGGTTGGAAACCCCCACAAGCCCCAACACTGGTATCTATGGTGGTTCTCAGCATGGAACAAGAGCAGAGCTGCGCCACGGTCAGTAATGTCATTGGTGCATTCACCTTTTCAACGCACAGCCTGCTGATGAACCAGCAGCATGTTGTGCAACTCCAGCTTGTGACTGTCAGGTGCTGCTTGGGTGTAGCATGCCTGAGTCAAGGGTTCCACAGCATTACTCTTTTACATATGGCAGGCTTGCGGTTGTAGACTTCTGTGTTGTGTGTCATTCTTGGTGATCTTCAAAACTGCTGAACATCTTCAAGACAAAAAGTGAGTCTCACAAATTTTGTTGCCCGGGAGGGGGCATGCATTTTACTGCAGTGTGCAAGTATGATATGACACCTCACGCACTGCGTTTTCCTTTCTGCACAAAGCCAATCTTTTTGTGTTAGTGATGTCGTTATGAACGACTTTCGGTGTGTCTTACATTGAGTGTGGGCCTCTGATGCCACAGTGGAGATTTTCACAGCCATCCGTGGCCTTCACCCCAAGACAAACATCGCGCTACCCATGCTCCTGTGGCTGATTTTCCCATTGCTGTCCCCCATCTCGCGGAGGAGGATACCTGCAACTGCAAACTTGGGTACGATACAGATTCTGGTCAGAGATTCGCCAAGTCCATCCACTGCTGCATATTTTCAACTGCAGTCCCTCCCCCTTTGGCACTGATGTCCCCGGATATACCACACGAATCTCTCCAAATCCCTGGCGTGCACCAGCCCACCAGTCCATTCACGTACTCGTGCCTCGTCCCTTCCCTTGCACAACCGCCCTTGTGCGCTCGCTTCGCCGCCTGCAGGGCCACGCCCCGCTGACAGCAGTGCCCAAGACTTGTCCACCACCCCACAACCCGCCGATCGACACCGTCTTGTGCCGTCTGCTCAGAGCCCAGTGCCCAAGCTTGCAACCTGGGATACGCAACGAGACAGTCCCACAGAACCCAAACACGCTGGCACCGCGCAAGTGGCCCTGCAGTGTGTTGGGTGGAAGCGTCCTTAGTAAGGACTCCTTACCGTCTTTTCCGTGCCCCTGGTCCAAGTGGTTTGGAGCGCGGTGAGGACATCCCTCCCCGAGGTACCCCGGTTCGGTCCCCGGCCAGACATCCTCTTCACCGTCTGCACTCCAACACAGTGACGGCCCCTTGCCATCACCCAGGGCAAACATTCCCACAAGAGCATTATGGCACGCACGCCTTTGTCATTGCGTGGCGCCCAGGCTGCTGGCCACCGCACCGTCGTCTCTGCCCCCCGTTGCCTGGACACCTTCCTGTGACAGGGGCGCCCGCCGCCTTGCCGCACCGCTGCCCGACGGCAGGCGGCGACGCCTGGGATCCCCGCTGTCGCTCGAGCGGAGGGAGCGCCTTCTCGGGGGTCCCTGCCAGGCCGCGGCATCCACCAAGGTGCGGCGTAAACAGTGCGCAGCGGACACAAATCGCCAGGGGGTGCGGCCCTCCTGAGCACTCACCTTACAAGGTTTCAAGCATCTGGCTCCGAAGCATTTTTGCGCCCCTTGCTGAGACGCACCGGCTCCCTCTTCGCTTTCCGCTCTCAACCGCCGGAACCTTCCCGGCAGCAAGGTCACCCCCCCCCCGGGCCCCCACGTCCCCGACGGCGTGCGCGAGCTCCGATGCCCATCGCCTCTAGAAGGATCCGGGCCAGAATTTTGCGATGCCCTCGACCGCGCTGGGATGCCGTCCGGGGCTCCCCTCTTGCTTGGGTTGGATTCCAGCTATGGCGGCCAGCGGTGGCGAAGGCCAGGACCCGCCCTCGAATGCGAATGCCCGGCCGGCGTCCCGTCGGCATGCTCGCCCGCGTGCCCGATGCGATGGGCGGCGCCCGTCAAGCTGCGCCGTGCGCTTGTTGCAGTCGCCGGAGGTGCTGGGATCAACAACCCGCCTCGGCTCACTTCGTCTTCGGGTCGCTTGGGGCGGGGCGGGTCCGCCACGAGCGTCGTTCTCAAGTGCGATTCGCACGTGTGGTTCCCCGTTGGCGGTGGAGTCTCGCAGTCGGCGCTGCCGCCGGAAGGATGGCCGCGGGCGGCGGGCGAACGCGCCCCGGCGACGCTGCCGGACGCTCGCGATGACAATCTGGGGCTTCCACCGCGCGACCCCGAGGTGCCCCTCGCTCACCGGCAGGGGCAGGATTTGTTACAAAGGGAGAAAGAACAGGTCACGCAAAGGGCAGCCCTTCCTAAGCAAGTGCATGCGAGGCTCGTTTCTATGCGGCGAAGAGATCATACAGAGCCTCCGATTCTAAAAGATGAGCGCACGATGCAAGCAAACTCCCCGGCAGAGGCCTGAAGCGCAATGCCGAATGGTGCAACCTGGGACCGCCGGGGTGTCCGCGTGTTTGCGTGTGTCTGAATCTGGACGTGCATCAGTTGTGGGCCACGGTCGGAGCCCGCTCCCCTTGCTTGAGCGGGCTGTTGGTGCCTGGCGGGAGGCAGCCTGTTGATTGTGGTTGTGGGAGCGGTGCCCAAGCTTGATTGACAAGGGCGCTGATTCCTTATCCCCTGCCTGCGGTCCAGTGGCAGGAGCTGTTATTCGATTATCCCAGACTCTCCGACCTGTCTGTGGCAAATCGTGTACGAGGTGCCTGCCCCAGGCCAGTGCCGCGGTTCCTGTTTGCCAAAACTGGCGCAGCGGCTTTCTTGTTTAATTCGCTTTGTGAAGAACGCCGATCACCAGCCTCTGTGAGAGGTGCCTTGTTGAAGCAAATTTGTATCCATGCAGTTCCCAAGACGCAAGGTGAGGAGGGGAGGGTCTGGAAGCCAACCCAGCATGGCATCGAGCTGAGGGACACTGAGGAGGGCGCTGGCGTGGCGTGTCCATGGCGTGGACTGCGCATCTTGCGATCTTGGTCTTGTTCCTATTGGGGCAGCATGTGGCTGCAATCCCAGGTTGGTGATATTCCAGGATCAGCCAAGTATGGGCTTGGTTTGCTGGTTAAGCATGCACACTGGGCACAAATGGCTGGGACGAGTTGGCCATACAGAATACATACCCTGGAGACTGGAGGGTGTTGCATTGATTGGGACTGGATTTTCAAGGTGCCCGATTCCTGAATAAGACAACGTCCTAAGGCAGGCAAACTTTGGAACATGTCATGACACCCAGTGTGAGCCAAACATGTGCCCCTTGAAATTTCGCCAAAGCTCCCTGCTGCCCCCTTCCTCTCTTTTGAATCAAAAGTCCTTGACTTGTTGTTTCTTGGACGCTTGCAGCCTGCATGCGCAAGTGTTAAATGGCAGAACATGCCTGCACTCCAGTTTGTGCTGTTTGCTCCTCCAGCAAGCCATTGTGCAATGGGACTTGCCTTCATGCACCACAACACGTTGAACAGGAGCATCAGCCAGTTCTATCCAGGCCACCGATTCTGCGAAGGTTGACAGTGGTGTCCTGATGAACCGCTGTTTCTTATTGCCAGTGGATTCATTCTAACAGATGAATGCATGTGTTCCTGTCCTTCCCCAGGCCTGCTAAACGTTGACGTGCTGTCAGCGGGGGGAAGCTTTCAGGACGAAATCAGGCTGCTGCATGTGGATGGCAACAGTCAATATGTCGTTGGCCGGTTCAACGGCAATGATGAGGGTCAGCTGTCGGGAGTGCCCAAGACATCCAGCATCCAGATCAAGTCTTCTGCTGGCGCTGCTCTGCAGCCTCAGGAAGCACCGATAGATGCAGTTTTTGTTGCAAAGGTGGGGGGATAAGACCGTTCTGCCCATGGAAATGGTGGCATGTATGGAATTGTAACAAATGTGTTATGAGCATAATGTGCAAAAATTAAGATGTGGAATTCATGTCATTGGTCCCCAGATGTGATGGGGCGGAGCCTTTGCAGCAGATTTTGCTGTGTTTGGTGCACATTGATTATCAACATTATTTGCTGACCAGTTCACTATCGACTTTTGTTATCAATAGACAGTATTGGGTGTTGCCTCCAACAACATTTCCTGTTTTATCTTTGTTGACAGAGCTCCAGAGTCCAAAGAATGTAGCGCACAAAGAATGTGTGCTGAAAAGGCACTGCATTGGAGCCTGAATGAATCTGTCCTAAAAGAGAAAGCCAAACCAATACAGGGTGCACCCCACGGCTATATTTCCCACAAGAGGGTAAGCTTGTGTGCATATTATTCAAGTCGTCATGCACTGGACAGGTCCAGTCTTAATCATGGCATATCCTGGCCAAGCCGATCTCCCCATGCAAAAGTGCAACTCATGCAGCGAAGCATGCTGTCAACTCCAGTCACGTCTGCTGAGTTCAGGGTGTTAATTGGCGGTGGTGTCAGCAATCGGATGGCCACAATAGAATGGCTTGTTGTGCAACTCCAAAGTGCATCGGTGGGCCAAACGAAAGCTGCTTGCTTAAAGTACCAAGGAGCTCCTTATGGAATTTGGCCTTGTTAAATGCATTTCCTGAGCACCGTATTGCATAGGATAGTCCCTTACCATCTCGCACAGCACTAAAGGGCACACGCTAAGTTTGCTGGCTTGCAGCTGTCCCTCTGGAATCGCAACCCAATCCAAGCTGAAGTTGAGGGTGTGATGGCCGCTTGTCATTGCTGTTATGGAAGGGCTGTGTTTCTCACATGTTTTGGCAGTTGCGGTGAATGGCATCAAGCTGCAGTTTAGGTTGGGGTCAGCAGATTTATTGGAAGTTTTAGCAAGTCGTTGTTCACGAAGCAGCGTACCAGATTTTGTCCAGGTGCTGCTGGCCTCCCACAGTGCGGCAAAATCACCAAACTTTTGTCGCTGGATCCAACAATGCTACTGCAGCAATGCTACATGAGTTGGGGTGGAGGGCTGAGGGATATTCAAAATTTTGTGCCCGATAGTTGCTAAAAAGTGCTGAATGGTTTGTTGACATTGGGTGCCACACAAACTGCCTTCACTGTTGCGATTATCCAATAAGCTGCTTCATGGCCAATTGTCATTTGTGTTGGGAGGCCTCTTCTGTCAAACATCTTTAACCTGAGTCTGTCGCCTGCACAGATGTCAAATGGCTTGGAAGAGCTCGAGTGGCTGCACGGACCGTTCACATGCACAGGGAATGGCAGTGAAGCAACACTTAACTGCACTCAGCACCTGGACGACGCAGACTTGGTGCTGACCATTGTGACGGGTCTCACTGTTGTGAACGGTATGTTACCATGATGCTGGGTCGTGCTGCAAATGAGCTATAGCAATGCCTTGCAGGAGAGGAAGTGCTTGTTGCTGGTCACTGGAAGGATTGCCATGCTGCAGGACATGTCCTGGATATTGATAGACTCTATCAGGGGTGCACATGTTCAGTCTGTGGCAAAGATAAGGCCAAGATATGGCAAGCATACAGCCAAGATTTGCCCCCAAGGCATGGGGTGAACATTTACCCCGTTCAAGTGCTGGAGTGCCAATACCAGGAGCATCATAGGCCAGATCGATTCTGAAATTACTTGTCCGTTGCCCTCAGCTGTTGCTTTGCTGCACTGCTGCACAAGTGCCACAGAATCTGTGCAGTTGTTTCAGGAAATTTCACAAGTACGATGGTAAATGGACCGCTTTTTGTTGGAGCAGCCATGAACAACAGAACCTTGGCACATTGCAGGCGATGATTGATAAAGCATGATCCCATCAATTTCTTGTTCGACATCCCAAGGTCGCGATTCAGCTCAACACTAGGAAATGCGTTTATCGGCCACATGTGGTCCACAAGTTGTGGACATGCACCATTGTCACACTTGTCACCATTTGACAAAGCACTGTCTGCTTCTTGAAGGCAACAATGTCGTCTGTTTCATTTTGTGAACATGATGCAATAGCCTCGGGTGGATTGAGAACACAGAACCAACATACAGAGCATATAGCAATGATGTAATGACGTGTGCGGGCTGGGTGTGCCAAGCATTGACAACTGGCCGGACATGACGGAGCAATTGTGGTGAAATACTCAATGCTTGGTTCATCGCCATCTTTCCTGGATTCCGTTTAGCTTGGCCACTGTGTTTGTGTCAGTCAAGATGTCCTTGACGTTGATATTCGAGGCATCTCAATCCATGCTTCTCAGCAAACATACTATAGCTCAAGGACAAAGCAGTGCAGAACTGTATGTTTACCATTGTCAGACAAAGCATTCCCAGTGTAATACAACAATGTCGAAACGAAACACCTAACCAAAGAGAAACAACGAAACACTGTGTTTGTGTCAGAGTGACCTTAGCTGGGCACATCGTTGCCCCTGTGGGTAAGATGATGCGTTTATGGGCTGCAAAATTGATGACGAAATTCCCTCATTTATCGCATTGGCTAGGAACTAGCAAACCAAGTCTGTTTTCCCTTGGAGGCGATGCAGAGGAAGTGGGTGCATTGTGAAGGTGTTTGCTATCATTGCTATATGTCGCTGCGGCTTCCCAACAGGTGGAGAAAGAAATGTGGACAAAGTTCATAGTTCATGGTGAAGAGTATAACAATTGCTTGAGCTAGCTGGAGTGAATGAATGTGTCCATTGCAGCACATGAATTGAGGTAGAGGCCATGGCACACGTCTGAACTGAGTCCAGATCGTCAGACAGCATAATATTTTCTAGCAGTTCACAGGGACCTTTCAGTGCTTGGCAGAGAAATAGTGCAACCCACACATCATGTCAGCCTGTAGGAGACAATTGTTGCAGCCTTCTGCCTCCTCTCATTGAAGATGGTTGCTGAGATTGTGAAATTGCCCTTGAGATACCTATTTTCATTGTGATTGTGGATGTGCTCTTTCAGTAGCAAACCACCTCCCTTGTCCCTTTTGGCTTTGCTCGTTTGCTCGAAACTCATGGCAATGACACACAGTGGGCATACAAACACATGGGCACCCACTGGTGTGCGATGTGTGTGCCTAAGCTCTCTTGTGGCTGCTTGGCAGATGATGTCATTTTGTCAGGATGCCAGCGCGACCCCTCCACCACGCCCAGCACTGGCTGCGCCAATGTGATCAGCCCTGGAAAATGGAACCTCGAAATCACCGGTTCCGTGTGTGCAAACACGCAAGGCGGCATGACGGTGCATGGGGATAGCATATTTGTAGCAGGAACATTCCAGGGTGTTCTGTCATTGACTCTGCGAGACCCAGCAGGCAAAGTGCTGGCGGACTTTGCAGGACAGCAGAGTCACCAGGCTGCAGGTGAGCACCAGGTCGACACCAGTTTGTATTTTTATTGTTGTATTGTTACAGTATTTTTATTGTTGTATTGTTGTATTGTTACAGCAGAAAAGACAGTTGCATAAATAGTGTAAATGGTTGTCTGGACTTTGTTGCTGTATCGTTTATGGTCCATTGGTGAGGATGTGTGTGGACTCCTGGAAGGTGATGCTGCCTTGCAGTAGCTGATCAGTCAATGAGATGCAAGACAACCACAGTGTTTTTACTTTCGCCTGTCTGTGGATACATTCCATTGATGGAGAAAGGAGTGTTCGTTTTCTTACTGTTCGATTCCTTGCCAAGGTCACGTGCACATGTGCGTGTACACATGTACATGAGCGTGCACTCATGCATATAAATTTTAAATCATATCCGGACCAAACCTTGCCTGTGAATAAGCACTGGGCAAAGCTGCCACCAAAGTGTATGTCCAGAACAGATTGGACAGCTGGCTCTGTGGATGTGAAGAAATGTCTAGTATTGGCTGCCTTGCAGTAGTTCAACCCATTCAACAGGAGTCTCATATGCAGCAGTCATCGCCAGTCTTGGAAGTGCTCATGGTGCTCGGATGCAGACAAATGGCGAATGGCTGTAAGGTGTTATGCACAGTATTGTTGTTGCACTACAGACAGTGCACTTGCGACATCTTTGTTCTATGTTCTTGGGTCCCTTGTTTCTGTCATGCTGGTCTGAATGTGCACATTGATTCCCACGTTGCATGATGCCAATGCTTCCCTACAGGCAGCAACTGAATTGCCTAAAATGCCCCTGTGCCTGCAGCAACCTATGTTGTGGAATTGAACGCAACTGGGCATGTGCTGAATCTGGAGATCAACGATGGCCAGCAGCGCACATGGACCCCGCTTTTCATGGCAGCTGCACCAGACAGGAGTGCAGCCAACGAGTCGAGGGTGTTCGTCCTGTCTAGGCTGACATCGAGCCCACTGGCGGACACAGCTGATAGGTGCCCTCTGGAAAGGGCTGTTGAAGATTCACCAGCCGACCCGATCGCCCTAACAGACCTTTCCTTTAGTGGGCAGCCTCAGGCCCTTTTCATCCTGCAGGAGAAGCAGGGCCTGTTTGAAGCGACGGGGATGGCCTTGGGACCGAACGTGGCATACATCTCAGGCTATCTGAGGGTGAGTGTGCCTTGTGGCTGTACTCTGAGCTGCCTGGTCTGTTCATGTTACTTGGTATGGTGAAAGCGAGACGAGCGAGAAACAGGAAAATAACGCTTTGTAAATTGTCAAAATAAAACTGATAGCACACACCAGACGTAGTAGAATTCGTGCGTGGTACCTTTGATCATCATGAACACCAGTGTTTATCTTTTGGTCCAAGAAAGCTGGAAATCGATGTCACAAACGGAGTCACGAAGAAATCTAATTGTTCTGTAGGCTGTTTAGCAGGATGAATTATCATCTATTGTCGATGTTGGTTCCTGAACATGTTTGTTCCTGGGCAACGAGGCAACCAGCTGTGCTGACTGTTTCAACATCTTGTGGTGCGGAGTTGTTGGGCATTTCCTGGCCAGTTTGGTGGTGCCTGAAACTCTGAGTGACCTTTCGTTATCGTTCTCCGGATTCGCTTTGCTGAAACCCACCACAAGCTTTCGATGATAGCGCCATGGCACACCAGCAAGCAATCATCCTGTCAGTGCAACATGTTCCCAAGGGGTATGTTCCCAAGGGGCAAGACACAAGCAGCCAAACACGTTGCAAGGAAACGAACTCGAAACACGTGCATGAGCCAGACGATGCCTTTGCCCATCCTGGCATGTGCCCTTGTGTTTGCAAATGTTCTCCATTGTGCTGATCTTCCACATTCTCGAACAAAAAAAGCTTGACATTTCTGAGTCATCACAGCTGCATGTGTGGGAATACTGGCAAATCGCTGTGCTTCCTCTATCGTGCGCTGCCAGGGCACCTGGGCTGTGCATCTGTCGACTGCTGAATTGCTTTGCATGCTGGATAAGGCTGCAATGTATGATATGATACGTTTTGAATTCTGTTGAACATGTGGCTCTGCTCTTGACAACAAAGCGAGACATCAAATGGCCAACGTTCAGCATACGAATGGCCCAAAATGTTCGTTTGCCCTAGTATCTGGAACATTGCACAAGTCATCGTTGCCAAACATTGAGGGTGTGCTTGCATGGTGTGGATATGACAAATCACCCTTGAACCTGTGAGGCTACTGTGGTCATCGTCTAGGACCTGAAGTTGAGTGGTGCCGGGGTGAATAATGGTCATGGATTATGCAGTTCGGGATTGAATGCTCCTAAACCACAGGCATGTGGCACAGGTGTGGCAACTGCGATTAGTCGTACTGCTGCTGAGGATGTTTTCAGCAATTCACCCACAGCTTCTTGTTTGCAACGCCTAAGAATTGCTGTTTCTCACTCAGGGGAGTTTGCAAATGCCTCGCAACTGCACTGTGGCCACCAGCAAGACTGGTGACCAGTTCAAGCACACTGACGGCCTGCTCATCAAGGTTAACTTGACAGCTCCAAGGGTTGAGTGGGTTCTGAGGATGGGCGGCCCTGGGCAAGATAGGGTTCATGACGTGGCTGTGCAGGGCGAAGACGTGTACATTGCCGGCACCTTTGAGAAGAGCTTCGATGTGCATGGGCTGATTTACATGCTGTCAGAGGAGGGCCGCTGCAGCTTCATAGAGTTGGCGCTGAACAAGCCTGAGGTCCACAGCCGCGGCGGTTTGGACATCTTTGCACTCAAGCTGACGTCCGACAATCTGGACATTCAGGTGAGCATGGAGAGGAGTGGCATCCAACAGCCAACGTGCACATATTTCGTCCTTGCCTTGCAGGTGCAAAGGCAGTGTTGTGTTTTTGCAAGACACAACAAAGTGTGAGCTCAAGTGGGCCCTGATGCGCAAGTGTACCCTGGTTCAGTACTGGATTGTTTTGGACATCGCCAGATTGCTGCTATGCATAGTCTGAATCCTCGCCATTGTTTGTTTAGGGTTATGCATGTCCATCGCATTCAAGAAACCAGATTTTGAGAGGCTGCCATTTGCGAGACCGTTTGTGCATCTCTGAGAATATACGTGCACATCATGATACAAACACCCTGAAAGACCTTGGCACTGCACATGAAGAAACGAGATGCAGTGGACGATCATGTGTTAGCCTCACTTCTCCGGCACCCATGATAGAATGGCGTGCCATGATGAACTCTCTATGACCACCTTGGCGATCATGTGTTAGCCTCACTTCTCCAGCACCCATGGTAGAATGGCGTGCCATGATGAACTCTCGATGACCACCTTGGTGATCACTAGTTCGGTGCCCAAGAAGAAGTACACTGATAATCGTGCAGTAATGTTTGATGTTTTTATGACCAACCAACAACCTCTTCTGCCGCAGTGGGTGGCTACGGCGGTGGGCCCCAAGGACTCCGTCGTCGCCGCCATTGCTGTGGACTCGAGGGACCGCCTCCACATGGCCGGGCGCTACGAGGGCTCCCTGCAGCTGCCCTCCAGCCAGGAAGTGCAATCCCGGGGCCTCTTCGACGCCTTTGTTGCCACTCTCCAGGAATCGGAAACGGTGCTCCTCGCGGGATCCACACCGGCCGTCAACTCTGCTGGTTCAGACGGTGGCTCGCCTGCCTGGCGGGCAGCAGGCACGGCGGTGCTGGCCATCCTTGGGGTGGCCATAGTGGGGGTGGGTTTCGCGATGGCAGAGCGGTGGCGCAGGGCAAGGAAGGGCCGGCAGGGCGTGGAAGCGTCTGAGGGCAACCAGGAGGGGAGCGAGATGGGCGAGCGCATGTTGCAGGCGGGCGGGCCAAGTTACAGCATTGTGACGGGCTGCGAGGAGTAGCGACGGCATGCACGGCTGACGATTGCCCGTGTAAGAGGTTGACGGATCGCTCAGTCTGAGACGTTGGGCGATCTGGGGGATTGGGGATGGCTGGGGGGTGGGGAAAGGCGCTGGGGGTTGAATTTTGAGGACGGGGCAGCCTGGCAGTGTTGTGTATCAACAGAGCATATTTAATGGAGTGAAGCCTGTTGACGTAGTTCCTTTGAATACAGTCACCACTGTTGGCAGGAGCCAATAAAGTAGGGTGATATCGACATTGTGCAATCATTATCCGCATTGCATTTGTCCAAACATCGTGACAAACAACCTCCCTTGCACATTCTGGGGTGATAGCAGGCACAAAAGGCGCAACCCACGTTTGTTGAATATGTCAACTTTGTAGATGTGCCCTTTGCTCCGCATTAGCCAATGCCAATGTGTGCCTCCATAGGCTAGTGTCTCAAACCTGCTCGCACAAGTGTGTCGTGCAGAAGACTCCGAGCACGCAGTTCACATTTGGAGATTTGTTTGTTGCCTGTTCGAAAGGCCATTCAGCAAACAGGGGGGTGCTATTCGATCCAGATTTCGACGCCCAGGGCCAAAGTACTATTTGCAGATTGAACAAGGGTCAGACAAGGGTGAAGGGAGAGAGGGCAAGGAATGCCTCAGAAAACAGAATTGAGCAAGGTCGACATGATGGCAAGGGGGTAGAGACGGGGACACGAAACATCAGCACAGAAACTGACGGACCCACACACGAACTGCTGGAGGCCGTGGAGAGGACATGTTGAATGGCCATTACGTGTGACTGCCTATTACGGCTGATGAGTCACGGCCACGTGTATACACTCTAGAGAATGTGTCCAACCCAGATCCCCAAACAAAGGGACCCTAAGGACACACAACAACCTATTGCTATTCCAGCTGCAAATGCGCAGGCCAGCTGGAAGTGAACTGGGCTGGTGACTGGACCAGCAATCACGCCCGTCACAGGCTGTGACGTGACGGGGGCTGCGCCCCTTTCTTGCCTATTCTGATAGCGCCTTACGCGCTCAGAATTCCACAGAAAGTTCAATTGACCTTTCAGTCTGGCCATTTCCCTGGCCAGACTGGCAAGCTGGAGAGATTCCCCGCGCATTAAAGGGCAAATGAGGAGCCCGACCAGTGCACCTACTTTCCGAATTAGGCTGGCAGCCCTCGATGTCAATACTGATCCTTGAACAATCAAATTGATACTAGTTAGGGTTAGTAGCGCAGAACCAACTGCCTTACAAAGTTGAGACAGTTGGTTAGGGTTTATAAACACTCTTGTCCAATCCTTTATATATTTTCCAGGATTCTGGACACCGTCAATCGAGATCAGCACATCGTCAGCATACAGCTTGACGTCCAGTTTCTTGCTGATTCTATGTGCAATTGCACCACTCAGTTATCAGTAACTTTAGAAGACAATTCTTTCCAGCTTTTTCGCAGCTGCCGAGCTTGCCTCTCAGTCAGCGAGTGTCTCTGAGTTCCCTGTGTGTCTTTATACAGGTCAACCTTCACAGGAGCTGGCGGACACTGAGATGACACAACTTTTACCACAGGAGTTTGAGCTCTGATTTCCTGGTCTAGTTCTTTGGGGCTTTCCTCAGTTTGACTCATACTTTGCGGTTTTCATCTGGCAGAGATTCTATGGCTACAAAAGGGGTTTTGTATACTCTTAGTCCTGTAACAAACTGGGCCTGCTTTCAACCTCTGTCTCCTTTTTAGTACTGGACCTCACCGAGGCAGTACCTTGCCGAGTACACACTGGTCTTGGCTGCGAATAACGTGAATTTGAATTCACCCTACCTTGATTACTCACCTTTCTAACTTTTTACTTCCAGTCGGGCCCAGGCCGGTTTGTAGTCCGGTGATTCAGTGAACTCAAACGCTCTCACTGAAGGTCCTCTGAATCGCTATATATAAGTTGTACACTTTCGCGAATTTAATACTTTAATCTGTACTACAGTACTGTAGTGGGAGCCCCAAAGACTTCCCCACTAAGTACAAGGCCGGATTTGGGACCCCGCAGGCTTCCCCAGTGGATCCAGGCCAAGGGAATTGATCGAAGTTACAGCCGGTTTGGGGCCCCGCAGGCGTTCCCAATAGACCGAGCTGTAATCAAGTCAAAGCTCCCTTTAATTAGATACATATTGTATTAATGAATCCGAATTTAATTGCAACGTGGTCCTCCGCGGACCACAACCTGTACTACAAACTTTGTAGTTCAGTTTCAGTCCCCTAGTTCCTTCGCCTATTGGCTCCGGAACTGGTCCGTTCGGATTCGCTTGTCAACTGGGGTTTTGCCCTGCTATTTATAGCCCGCGGGGCTGCCGCCCCCTCTAGGAATATCCCATGAAGATTCCCAAGAAGATTCTTATTATCAATCAGATCACAAAGGATCAGGATACTCACATCACTCAGAACCACTCAGTTCAATCCGTTTAGGTCTCAAGGCCCCTAGTACAGTACTGTAAAATCACTCAGCTCACCATTCACCATAACACCCAAACTATACACTAAGATTCCCTAAATCGCCAGAATATTCCCCTAAGATCCCCCTGATACTTCTACTAAGTACGGGCCAGCCCCGTACTGCCACTTCCCCGCAACTTCCGGCTCCGCCCGCTCACGGTCCGCATGGGCGACATGTCCATGCTTTTTGCACATGGTCAGTAACTTCCTCCCGCCGCGCTGAGGTACGCCGTGGCGTCACCCGCGTAAGCGGCCACCGCGTGCACCATGGCCACGTCCAGCGCCCCGTCCAGGCGCCTCGCCTCCGCGCCCGCCGTGCTCCCTTGCGCGTCATCCGCCTCTCTCCCAGCGCCTGGGTCGGACCACTCTTCATCCTCATCGCGCGCGACCGTCGCCTCTCCACCTCCCTCTTCGCGCCCAGCCTCGAAGTTTCCAGCGCTGTCGAGGAAACCGTGCCGCCATAGCTAGGCCAACTCCCAGCCTCTCTCGCCCCACGGCTCCGCAAGTTCGCCCGCCATCCAGGTCGGGCCGGTCGTGACGAGCGCGGCTGGAGACAAACCCTTCGAAGCCGCAAAGCTGCACATGGCGCACTTGCGGTCTTGGTCGCAGACGGGGCAGCCTTGATTTCCGTAGAAGTTGCCGTCGCCCTCTTGCCTAACCCATCCGCTTCCCCACGTCCAGGCCTCATTCCGGTGGGCCTCTTCCGGTGTGGCACCCTCCTCAATCCGCCGGTTGAACCCCTCCCGGTATAGGAGGGGCCAGGCTTCGGGTAGTGCAGCATCAAGGGCCCTTTTGCGGGCCCTTTCTTCCAGTTTTATTTCGCGCTTGTCCAGCGCCCTCGCAAGCCACTCCCCTTCTTCGTAGTCAACCAGACCGAGTACCCCTTCGAACCGCACCCATGCCCGGTACTTCGCCGCCGCCAGAACTTGCCACTTCGACTCGCTACACCGGAGTATCCAGGCGAGGGGAGCACCCCCGCTGCCTTTGGCTGGCGAAAGAGCCGCGCCTTGGCCACGCCACGCGAAGGCTCTCGGTTTGCGAAAGGGTCGATCGGCTTCTGCAGCTGCCCAGGCGATGGAGGAGTCCGAATCCCATGCAGAACGATCCATCTGGTAGCGGTGACGGACCGCCTGCCGCAAACCAAACGCCCACCGGCGTGTGGGGATGGTTGAAACGACGTAGGCCTCCAAACGGAGGCACATTGGCCTTGCTGTCCTCGAAAGGCGCCACTTCCACGTCCAAGGCGCTGCCGTTCGCACCCAAAACTCGGGTACGCCAGCTCCGCTGGCCGCAAGCCATTCGAACGGCACCCCGTAAGGTCCCGCTACGGCCGCACGAAGGTCCCGTTGACCCTCCATGGAGAGTGCATTCATTCTCGGCACTCACACTCCTGCCTTGCCCATTCATTGCGAGAACGTCCGCGACGTTGGGTACACTCGTCACAACCTCCCGAACCGCCCTGCACCGGTAACGGGGCTCGGAATTTGCTTGCGCGCCGTGCGCAAGCTTTCCAGGTCGGGGGTCTTAAGCGGAGGCGTTTCGGGCGCAGGGCCCGTTCCCGCGACTCTGTACGGATGACTCGGCCGTTATCCCATGTGACACATCAAAAAGCGCCCAGTTGCACTGGGCAACCTACAGGGCTGCCTCCGTACCCTTGGCAGTGTTGGTCCGTGTGCACGGGAGGCCAATGCGACACAGGTCGGTCGCGTTTCATCACAGTACGACATCCAAATACGGATGTCAGTCAAATTACTTCACTAATACGCAAGTATAAGCAAACGTATCAAGCTCATTTTTGTCCCGTCCAGTTTGTGGATGGCTGTGACAGACTAGCACTGAGTTTCAGTCGTATTCAATAGTCTCTGTCAAGCGGTTTCAGCGCTATGAATCAGCCTGACCGTCGGGCACCCTTCGTACTGCCCCGTAGGTCATGTTTTATCATCAAAATAATCCTCACATGGTGTCAACTCTCCCTTGCACTGCGACCTGGTTCTGTGCGTCGCCCCAATCACAGTCACTGCTAGACTTAATGCTTTGGCGGGTGCATAAAAGTCAGGTCATTTTGGTGCCTTCTGCCAGCACCCTTGGCTCACTCCTTAGAATCACCTTGACAGCCGCCAACGTCATAGCAAAACGCTATACTGTTCAGACTGCTGTTTTTCACTGTATAGCTGTGTTTCCATATATCTTTTTCGACATTCCCCTAACTGTTTCTTTTAGCCTTTAAATTTTGTCATGGAATGCCAGCGGCTCCTTCAAGAACGCCCTGTCTTATCAGCGACTATCTCAGTAGTAAGCCTTCGAGTTTCATGGCCATACGATTCCAGGTCCAGCAGTCACATCAGGCTTATATTAGGGCCACTACATTCACTATCTCCCGTTAGGACCAGTACTTTCATTATATCCCTTTATATTCAATCATGTCAAGCTGCAGCCCTTCATACTTAACCGTACATAATCTTTAGCGGCGTCGCCTTGTGCTTTTTTCCTGTTCAGCTCTACTCGTTATTCACTCTTCAGCTGCTATTTCTTCAGCCGTTCTGTCCACCTCGCATTGTTGGTGAACTTGACTTTTATGCATCCGGTTCTTAGTAATTTATGACAGGTCTTCTAATGCATACTTTTCTTATCCAGTTTTTGCCCATGTGTCCAGTTGACATCCCTGGGCTGAACGCTTCAAGGCAGCCTATTCAAGCACGCAGCTGGTAGCCCTTTCTTAGTCAGGTCCTTTTATGGATTACAGTCATAATGCCCAACATCAGCAGCTGTCAAACACAAACCCTCGGATCCGCTTGAAGTGGAAACAATTGTGTCCATCTAATCCAAACTTCTGATGCTGCTTTTCAAAAACCCATTTCCTTCTCAAAAGCTTCCAGCGATCATGTTCATGAACGGTGGAGCTCCAGTCAGGCGGTATCAATGCTCGTCAGCGTGTCCAGATCTGGACAGCCACTGAGGGATTGTGGCTTGTCTCGTTTCCTTGGTCTTTCCCCTACAGCCATTGTCCAGCCAGTATGTTAGACAACATAAACTGTAAAGGCACAGCGACCATCAGATATCTTCTTGATATGCCGTTTACATAAAGCTCTCCCTTGTTCCTTGATGAATCGCATATCTGTTTTTTCTTTACTGGCTTCCCTTTTCTTTTCTTGTTCACCCTGACCGGCTGTTTGATAGTGGCCCAGTCAGCTACCCTATGTCGGTCATGAGCCCGCCTTTGATGTGCCGGTGCTCATGACTAACGGCAGTTTTAACAGACACGAACAGCTTGATTGGATTTCGCAGCACAGGGGTGCAAACGGTGCCAACAGACTGAGGTTTATCCAAGGTGGGGCCTTTTGGAAGCAACGTGGCGACCTTGGAATGTGCCTGGTAGAAGCAACAGTGCAGGAGGCATAAAATTACTCCCCGTTCTTGTTTGCCGAGATTCGATTCTTGTTTTCGGACACCCTAAACCCCAACTACTGATCCACGCACCGGGACTGGCCTTGTCAGCGGAACAAGAACCGAAATTCAGCAAACAAGAAGAAGGAGTAATATATTCTCCTCCACCACTGACCCATCTAGCCCACGCTGCCCACGCGCAACCGCCACGTCAACGACCCGCAGGCGACCCCAAAGCAGGCTTTGCCGCCGTGCTGCAGCCTGGTACGTAATGCTCTCGTCAGCGGCATCGATGCACGCCTGTCGCATCATGCGTGGTAGGATTTGCGATTCCGTGGCCGCCGCGCCGCCCAACCAACCACCAAGCCTGGGCCCGAGAGACCCCCCTTGCACTCCCCGCCTTGCACTATTAGTACGCACCCACGAAGGGTCCCTGGGGGCGCCCAACCAGGTCCAAATCCCACCGCGCCCCGAGCGGCGCCAGTTGACTAAACTCGCCTCTCGAATCCCCGCGGCGCGGATCGCCCCGCTCACCCTCCCTGGAGCAAGACCTGCCGGCTGTTCTCCTGACGGCTCCCTCGGACGGTCGGAAGTCAGGCGGGTCTTGAAGGTACTGCCGGCTCTGCGCAGCGACCGACTGGGCGCCAGGCGGGGGCAATAACAGCCTGCAGGAGCGAGGACGAGCTCTTTGAAACGGCGGGCGGGCTTTGGCGCGGGCTGCCTGCCACCCCGGCCCAGCCCCGGCCGTTCTCCTGGTAGGGCAGGCACGGGCGGCGCCACACCGCCCAGGGGCGTCCCCCTGTGATGCGCGCCGGATGAAAGATCCGGCCGCCGAGGCGGGCAGCGGCTCAGGCAGGGACGAGGCGTTGCGCTTCGCGCTGGTCAAGCACCCCTCCGACCCCGGCGATCCGGCGGGGAAGCTTGTGCTGGGCGTGAGGGCGGGAGGCAGCAGGAAGAAGGGAAGAGAGAGGGAGGACTTCCACGCAGACGGGCGGAAAAAGGCGAGGTGAAAGGTGCGGGCGTTCGTGCCGCGGCCCATCCGACCGCCGGTGTGCGTGCCGGCGCGCGTGGCCAAGTGCTTCTGCACGGTGGACATCCTAGACGAGTAGGGGCGGGCGGGCAGCAGGCGCGGGGGCCAATCGGGCGGGAGGGGAGATGGAGGGGGCACGAAGGCATGGGGCGGGGAGGAAGGGCGGGCGGGATGCTCCGCGTGGGCGGGTGTTCGAGGAGTGGCAGGGCAACGAGCGGTTCTTCTGCGGCGGGAGGTGCATCGGCGGCCCGAACTGGAAGTCGCTGATCGGGACCTCGTGCCTGATTCTGCTGCCGCTGGCCGTGTACATCCTGTTCGTTGGGGAGGTGCTGCGGGACGAGGTCAGTGTGGCGCTGCCCGCGGCGGGCGTGGGCCTGGGCGTGGCGGCCCTGTTCTTCCTGTTCAAGACGGGCTGCATGGACCCCGGCATTTTGCCGCGGCAGGAGCCGGACGAAGAGTACAGGGCCGGGCGCAAGCCCAAGAGCAAGGAGATGATCGTGAACGGCCACAAGGTGCTGGTGCGGTACAACGAGACCTGCCACTTCTACCAGCCCCCCCGGGCGCACCACTGCTCCGTGAACGACAACTGCATCGAGAAGTTCGACCATCACTGCCCCTGGGTGGGCACAACCATCGGTCTGCGCAACTACCGCTTCTTCCTCATGTTCATCTTCACCGGCAGCCTGCTGTGCCTCTACGTTTGCGGCACGGCCGTCCTGGCCGTCAAGCTGGAGTACGACCAGCTGCGGGACGCGGCCCGCGAGGACGGCGAGGGCAAGCCCTCCGTGTGGGAGGCCCTCCAGGAGGCGCCCGCGGCAGTCGCGCTGGCCGCCTACACCGTCCTCTTCTTCCTGTTCGTGGGCGGATTGTCGTTCTTCCACATCTACCTGGTGTCCACCAACCAGACTACCTACGAGAACTTCCGCTACGGCTACGAGCGCGCACGCAACCCCTATGACCAGGGCTGCGTGGCGAACTGGGCGTCGGTGTGGTGCATCAAGACCCCCCAGTCCAAAATCAACTTCCGGTCGCCGGTGGTGCCCAAGCGGCCGCCGCCTCCCAATCCCGGCCTGCAGATGAGCCGGTCGTCCATGAGCTCCGGCTTCGCGTCGCCGGCGCACAGCATGGCCTCCGCCAGCCGCAGCAACCGGCCGCACACCAGCCGCAGCCGGCAGTCCGGGCGGGCGCCCCGGGAGATGACGATGACGATCGACGTGGAGATGGGGCCGCTGGAGATTCGGCATGTGGACGAGGGCGGAGGTGAGCGCGGTAGGTGCCCTGCGCGAGCGGATGCCCGGGGCATCGCGAATCCGGCGATTTCGAACGCCGGAACTCGGCAAAGCCCTTGCAGCACAGTTGGCAGTGCTGTAAACGTGTTGGTCCCCTTCGTGATGGTGCCCCTTCTATAGAGACTTCTGCATGGGCTTCTTTGCCCCTGGAGCTTATGCACTGTTGCGGGAATGTGCTTTTTGGCTGAGTTGCGGTGTTGTGCGTTGGCGTTCTCCCGTCGTGTCCTTTCTGCCCACTGTTGGGTGGCGCACTCACGCTGGTCCATGGCCCAGATTTTCGTTGGAAGTCGTTGGCTGCTGGGGGCGCCCTGCAGAGGCTGCATGCCTGTGTGGTGCCTTTTATACTGCTGCAATCAGTGTCTCATCTTGCTGCTGTGCGATGCAGGTAAGCTCCAACAGATGAGCCAGTACTCCAGCAGCGACATGAAGCGCCACCGGGCAGCAGGCGCATCTCTACCTCCTTCAAGGGCGATGTCCCCTTCTGACTCGAAGGGGCAAGTGAAGAGAACCCGCCGTCCTGCCGTTAGCAGTCCAATGGGCAGGGAGGTCTGAAATTTGAGGTGAAAATCCCTGGTAGCACAGTTGTCCCTCCGATAATGCGAATAAAGGAGCTTGGTTTTTTGTCCAGTGTGGATGGAGCTATATATGCAGGAAAGCTACGCCTGTGAGAACTGCACCGTTTTGTGTGGGTTCTCATCTTGCGACCGTCGACGGGGAGCAATAGGTCAACAGGAGGCCTTGTGGTGCTCAACCCAGATGCCCAGTGCAGGGGTTGTGCACCCACACGCGGTGCAGAGGGCTGGGTTGGTGAGCTGAAACTTTATGGAACAATCAAATTCGATGAAGCTTTTGGAAACGAACCTACAGAGTAGGCCAGGTTGACGCTGGCCGCTCGCTGACACCCACGTGTGGATGCGACTGCGGGAGAGCAGCAGCGAATGTTGCCCTGCGGCTTGCACGCCCCATAACTTGACTCACGTCCCTGGCAGTCCCCGCGTTTAGGCACAGTGCTGTTTGGATGGACCGAAGGCAGGCAAGGGGAGTGCGCATTTCAGGGGAATTGCGGTACTTGCTTGGAACCCCCGTGAGCTGAATGGTCTGTACCCGATGCAAAAGCGTGCTGTCTTGTACTTTTCTGTGTTTTTCTGGTGGACACTCCGTCGGACGAGGCGGGTGATTGTGTGTGTGTACATATTCTTACCTGTGGGCGCTGGTGCTCATTTCAAGGCCAGCACGCAATAAAGGCGAGTGTGGATTGTCAAGCCCGATCGCCCCGTTTTTGGGTGCGCGCACGGCTGGAAGGTGTGAAGGCCATTCTTTGGGTGGCCGTGTTGGTGGGCGGGGTTCGGGACTGATGTTGGACCCTGTTGATCCCGGCATGTGGTGGCTCGCTTGCCCAGCGCGACTGCATGCCGCCCACGTTTTGCACATGGTGGTCTGCGCGCGAGTCTGTGCACGTCTGAGAAGCCAAGGACAGTTATCGGACAGGGCAGCTGGCCCAGGTAGGATGGACTCTATTTTTACATCATTAACGGAACTTGGATCATTTGGTTTCGCTTGTGTGAAGAGGTTCCAAGCCTGGACTGAGGGAGGCGTCGAAAATGCTTGTGTCTCTGTGTGTGAGTGTGTGATATTGTCGGCCCATGGCGCCGTCCAGGTGTATCCTTCATCGCCTCAGCACTTTAATCAAAACGTGTGGCTTTTTGTCGGCTTGGTGAACCTGGGCCCCTTGAGCGTTCGCCACGGGCCGTTCTTTCAGTTGTCTGGAAGGCGTTCCCGCAGGCTCATCACTACCATGTGTCCGCCTTCCTTGGATGGATGGCGGTCTGGTACCGACCCTCGCTGCCTGATAGTCGTCCATGATTGCAGAACTTGTACCCGGATGGCCATGCGTACTGATGGCAGATTTGCTGTCAAGATTATGTGGCTATCTCTGCCTTGATACCTGGAGACCTTGGTACCTGAGAGAGAGTGGAGCTGCACTCAGGCAGGTTTCCTGGCGCGTTCAAGCGACGCTTCAATCAGCCTGTTGCCCTGTGTAGGTTTGCCGTTGTTAACCAGCGCTTAGTCGTGTGCCGCTTAGGTCTGGCGTTGCTACATTCACGTTAGTTGTGTGTCGAGTCAGTGTCACGCTTCACATTATTGTGGCTGACGCCGTGTCAGTACTATTCGCACCGGTCGGTATGTTTTCATTTGGTATGGACAGCTGCAGGGCGATGTTAACAAACGGAAAACCACGCTGAACTCTGCCAACATACCCCATTATTCCCTTCCCGTGCATGGTCGGGTGTGTAGACGGATTCAGTTGCCCTGCACATTCTCGGCAACTCAGTGATCAAGCACTTCTCCAAATGGTGGAGTCACTGCCGTAGGGCTGAAGACATTGCAGAAGTTCGATGGGAAAGTGACCCTGCAGGCGCAAAGTCATTTGTCCTGAAGAATGGTGGCCTGGATGCAGGGCGCACTGAGGATCCACCTCCCGATCCTGCATTGTGATACATGTGCCCCCGCCGACAGAGCACAACTCTGCAAGAGTACATTTCAAATTTTACAGGGCCAGAGCCCCGTTTGCTCTTCAATCTGTCTCAAGGTTCCTCCTCCTCAACACAACCCCCTTCCCCCCGACTTTGCTATCAATTGCAATCAATTTTACACCTTCGGCGACCGGGTCGCCGCCGGGCGCCCATTTCCCCCGCGTGGAACGGCATCAACGAATGGCACGGCAAGTCGCACAGGCCCCTCTGAAGTCAGCAGCTCCAAAACCACCCGGCTCGACTTGTTTGGTCGGCGGTCAAACACGGAGAAAGAAACTTTACCCCAGCGGCGCCTTCACTGCAGCCTGAACACATCGATCTTCATCTCGCTGGATGCGTACAGCCGATTCCTGCCCTCCGACCACTTCAGATCGAAGTACCGCGTGCTGCGGAGGCGCCCGTTCGCCGTCCCCGGCCCCGGGGCGATCTCCGCGCCGCTCCGCAGGTCGATGAGGTGCAGGGCGTCCATGGACGCGGCTGCCACGAGCCCCGGGCGCGGCGCGTAGTTCAGTGCAACCTTCAGCACCAAAACTCGCTGTGGTTATTGATCAAAGATGTTACTGACCACAAATCGGAGTTAAACTTCGCGCCGTGGGGACAAATCAAGCGTCCCTCGTCGTGTGGATGTGGCCAGGATACATTCTGATGGGTCGTGCATTGCGTGTATGGCACGGACGGTGACATGCACATTCTTGCTAAAACACCATATGTACGACATCTTCCCTGTTGTGGACTGTTCCAATCGCACTCGACTTTTCGCGCGTCCTCTTTCAGTATTGACAAAGCACGACTACGCCTCGAGGACTTTTAGCAGTGATGTGCATCCTGTTCGCCAATGGGCTTACACTTTCAGCCTACAGGTTGAAGCATTTACATAGTGTCGAAGACTTTAGTGGGATTGATTCAACAATGTGCGAAAGAAGCAGACGCTTTTGAGCCCAGCAGGAACGCCGCGCGAGACGGACCTTAAGCACCAGCTGGCCGCCAAGCTTGATGCGCTGAATGGGGGGGCTGCCAGCGGCGGAGCTGGAGAGCTTGCGGAGGTCCCAGTGGGCCACGCAGCCGTCGCCACCCGAGCTAACGAGGTCCATGTTGGAGACGTCCAGCCAAGTGACCATGCGGCTGTGGGCCACCGCCTGGACAGCAAAGTGAGACGGGGTTAGGCAGGCGGCGCAAATCCTCACGGAACACATGCGTCATGGCATCCGGAAGGGCTGCCCAGTTGCTGTTTTGATGTGCTGTCTGGAAGCTGGACAGCACAGAATAGGACCTCGTGCTGTGTTCTCGAGCCGAGCATGGGATCGCATGATGGGTCGAGGTGCCAGAACATGCATTTCAGTTCACTCTCAAGTCTTTTCCAGCCGCGAGACTGCAACAGCCGAAGTTGGCGAGCCGGATTGAAATCAAGCTGAACAATTTGCGGGGGACGCCGCGTGCACAAGAGACGCAGCGCGGAAGGAGCAATTGCCAATAAGAAAGCAGGTCGAAGGCGACTGTTGGGGCGAAACAATAGTATCAACTGGTACAACGACGCCAGCCAATAGCTGCAGCGATTCACAGAGCCTGTGTAATAGATCTAGTCCCACTCTCGTTTGGGGTTTGCAATTTGCGCCAGGCAGACTGCCGTGCTGTGCTTCGCAGAGCTTTCCAAGCGTCAATGGCAGGGAGAGAAAATCTCCACCTTGACTGTATGCAAACTCTTCCTGGATGGACGCCTGGATGGCACGAGAACAATAGGGTGCGCAACAAGCATGATATGTGTGTGTGGGTACACATGCGCCCAGCAATTATCCTTTCCCCATATACCTCTCTTTCGTCATCCTCTATTTGATATAAAGGTGATTAATACATTGGAATCAATTCTTTCCAGTTTCGTTTAGCAGTCCACTTCCCACAACACCTTCCCATAGGCTCCCAAAGCCTCAACCGGCCGTCCCACTCTGCCGGGGCGCCGGCGCCACAGCTCACCTTGCCCGAGGCCGCGTCGTACGTCCCCAGCATGGTGGGCGCCGCGGCCGTGCGGCGGTCCCACACCCGGACCGTCTGGTCCCGGGAGCCCGAGAACAGCACGTAGGGGTGCGTGGTGGAGGACACCACGCTGGCCACCATGTCCTCGTGGCCGCTCATGAAGGCCAGGGGCTCCAGGGTGGATAGGTTTGTGGCGGTGGCCAAGTCGTAGTAGCACACGCGCTCCTCCATGGGCGCCCCTGAGCCCACCTCCTCGCCCGTGGCGAAGCCATTGGAGCCGGGGCCGTGGACGGCGCGGATGCAAGATACCAGGGCGTTGCCCGTCCGGTTGATGTAGCCGCTGCAATGGGATCGCCGGCGGAGTCAGAGAGTGCGCTGGTGGGTTCAGTTTCAGGGACGTGATCACTGTTAGGGGTGTAATCCCTCTGTGGCAGCTTGTCCTTTTTGTGAGGATTACTTCTTTGTTTCGGACACCAACAACCCTGACCCACTGACCCACTGACCCACTGACCCACTGACCCACTGACCCACTGACCCACTGACCCACTGACCCACTGACCCACTGACCCACTGACCCACTGGCCCGCGTTGGCCTTGTCAGCTGGAGAGGAAGGAATCCTCATGCAAAGACAGAGGGACTAACGCATTCTCTCACTGTTTGTGGGGCCACTGCGAGCTGTTGGAATGTGAACCTGTGCTGGTGCCAGTATTCTGCAGCGGCATTTGAAATGGTTTTGAAGTGCACTGTACTGCGTCGAAACGTTCTTCTGAAGTAAGTTGAAGTGCAACGAAATGTTGTTTGCATTGGTGCATGTCATCACTGATGAAATGGCACTCAGCGTGCGGTTAATACTATACAACTTTTAAGCCATTCTGACACAGTTTGCGGCTGTAAACTGTTCCAGAAAGTTCAAGATTCTGTAAATTGATTGCATAAATACACGATTCTTGGCATCTTGGCATTGCCAAACTCTGTGTGCAACTGTGCAATTAGCAAATTATTGGACGAACGACAGGAGCGGGTGAACACGGGAAAAGTAAGGCCTATAAGGCCTATACACAGTGATTGTGCTGGTAATCTTAACGTAATCGTAACGATGCACAGTGCACTGTCAGCACTTGATATACAGCACGTCAGTAAGGTTCCAATGTGGACAGCAACAGTTTGCGTGGATAATCCTTCGCCATCCAAAACGAAAAGTGTACATACTTCACGCAGAAGAGGTTGCCGTTGAAAGTGCCTGCCATCCAGGCACAGGAGTTTCTGTGCGATGGAAGCGACCTGAGCTGGCATTCCTCACGCGGCGTATGGAGCAAAACAAAGCCAGGTGACAAACTGCAGATTTCGCTCTTCTGAGCGCACAGAAATGCAAATAACAGGCAGATCTGTGCTCCTCTAAATTTGCCTTTGGCATGCCAAAGCGATACCCGTGCACCTTGCAGGCGATGACAGGCTTGGGGGATGGCAAGATTTCTCACCATCGGCGCCAGCCCTTCTCCTGATCGAACAGCGCGATGCAAGGGGGCTCCTTCTTGCCCTCATCGCTGGCCATTCCCACAGCAAGCAGCATGTGCTGTTGAGAATACATGTCCAGGGCGCAGACGAAGTGCTCGGGCATGGGAATCCTGCATTGAAAAACGTCAAAATCTGCTGTAAGTTCCACCCAACCATTTCCAGCCAATCTACTCGACAGCATATGCCAAAATGGAAAGGCCACCACCCTGTCATCGTTGAGGGCGCAAAAGAGGTCATTGCACCCATCGCAGTGCACAAGGCGTTGCTGCTATTCTGGCTTGCAGTACGAAGCCATCCAGGCAAAGCGGCTACACAGCGGAACCCAGCAACTGCTGAGTCCTGCATCTTCTGTTCTTAGGAAGAGGTGTTGAAGAAGAGAACCAGCCTGTCTAACAGTGACAAAAGCACTGTCTAGGTGGAGCGTCTACACGTTTTGGTCACAGAGAACGAAATGCATAAGACCAGTCACTGCAACAAAGCCAGTTTCAAGTGACGGCCTGGTGTCTGGCTAATGTGAACCCCAACGTAGCCAATGATCCTCGACAGGATTGGCAAGCCAGAAATCTGGTATCGGCAGTGTTGGAATCTTCAGCCCGCTGATCCATGATGCAACACAAGAAATTCGAAATTCACAGGTGCAATGGAAACTATTTGCAAATCGAGACGATGCTGATGGCCAACACGATACACTCAAGGGCCTTGGGGCCTGAGCATGAATCAAACTGACGCGCTGGCTTGAAGCAAGTGCCCCATTTGTGTAGACCATATCCAGTAGGCAACAGAATTGCAAATAGCACAGGCAATCGCAACACCCTGCCAGGAAATGTCCTGCTGGCACAGCACTTTACTCACACAACTGACAGTAACTTTGCCGCCTTTCTGCAGCTTTTCTTGTTTGTTCCAAGATATTGTATCACAGTTAAAGAGTCCAGGCGCTACCCCCATCCTAACAGAAGAATTGGGGGACTTGTGCCACCGCCTTTCTGCAGCCCCAGCAGAGTGTACGGATGGCACTGCCAAAGTCCATTTAGCAACGAACGCAGTTTCACAGCTGTTACGAGCATATCGCACCAGCCATTTTGGACAAAGGTACTGAACAGATTGGCATTGGCACCAACCCCAGGAGATTGGCAGATGGTCATGTGTTGGCCAGAAGAAGGATGGCCATACAATGGGAATCCCCTCCCGAAATTGAATTGAATGACCTTTTCCAGGCCACACAAATCAGGTACCAGGCTGCGAGTGCATCAAGAAACGCCCACAGAACTTGCTACAGTGAAAAGCAAGGTAAAACGCAGTCACCGGCAGCAAATGAACACCATACTCTGTTCCAGGAATGCACTAACTACTATGGAGACCAAGACTCATGCAGGAAAACTAAAGCACAGATTGGATGGTGTGGTCTGTGGGCAGCCATGTTGCCAGTCACACCTTTGAGTGATGGCGCCCTCTTCCGACCAAACCAAGCAAGTGCCCTCTTTGCCACCAGTGATCAGGCTGCGTGAGGTGGGGTCGAAGCACATAGCAAAGATTTGGTCGCTGTGGCCCTCCCAGGAGGAGACAGGGACCAGGGAGACTGCACTAGCCGAGCTGGAGGTGCCAGTGGCTGTGGTTGAAGCTGGTTCGTTACCAAGGGCCGAATGCTGGCACCATCAACACCGACCACAGTCAACAAACTGTTCTAACGAAACACTGCGCTGCAGTCTTCTTGATTTCAGTTGTTCGCACTGACAGAACAGCGCCCCCAAGTATTCACGAGGCGGGGAAAAGGAAAAAGAAAAAAAAGGAAAAAAAGAAAGGTGATGTAGGCTTCTAGAATGCATCGTCCCAAGCTGTCCAAAGAATCCTAAACCTAGGCAGAGTCGATTTTGGTGTTCATCTGCGAACGTGTTACAACCAAAACAGTCCACAGGCTTTGGCTGAACATCAATTTGGTGAGTCAAAGGGGTTACGCGGAAGCCAGACACTGTGCTTGGAGCTCAGGGGCAGAACGTTCATACTTCACATTGCGGCGTCCATTGCGGATGTTGACATAAGTTGCCATGCACAGTAATGATGTAAAACGTAGAAAACAGAAGCTGCTGGCATGCAATCAGAATAGCTCCCTTCCCCCCCTTTCTGCAAAAAAGAAAACAAAAAGGAAACCCCTTGACTGCCTCAACAGATCAACACCGAGAGTGCTACATCGCAACTGGAGTCTCTTTGGTAGCCCCACATTGGTACCTTGCCTGGCGCAAGAGGCGACTGTACCAGCAGCGGGTGCGTCCACCCCATGCATTTGGATATGTAGTTGACATCAAAATGAAATGGCTCTTCCTTGATGCCCTGGACAGTTGTCCTCAGACTTTCCAATGCCTTCTTGTCGCACTTTTCAAGCATCTGCAATGCACAAATATATGTGGCCCCTGTGAAGACGTGCACAAGGCCAGTATCATCCCAATAGGTGCAAGGAAAACCCTTTGGCAAGTAAGGATACATGGAGTCTTTGAGCATTTCCAAAGCGCACACCAAATTTCTGACTCTTGCTCATCGTTTTGACAGCACGGCTGCAATCCAGGACACAATCTGCAAATCCTGCAGTGGCCTCTCCAGTATTTCTAGTACCAGTCATAGGCAGAAGTACTAAACAGGCATGTTTGGTGATAGCACAGAAGTACAGTTCCCCCCCACCTGAGAGAATGAGACAATGGGCAAGGCACAACAGCAGCAACTGGTTCGCATCCATGTCCAAGCATCGACTTTGTTGATGGTCTGACACACACTGCCTGGGCACCATAACCAAAAGCAAGCAAAGGGAGATTCAATCCACAAGGCATAATGACGTGACACGGCCACACCTGCTTTGAGCACAGCTCCGACGTCTTCCCCAGCACAGTGAGGGAGGCTGCGCGGTTCTCTGGTTTCTGCAGCAGCCTGTCTATTGTCTGCGCAGCACCTAACCCACAACATAGTGCACCAATCAAGGCACAAGGCTGCCTGTAACCAAGCCACAGGCAGCGCAATTCTTAACGCACAACACCAAAGTAAAACTGGCATTCTTCCCTGGCAGTATGTTGGAGACAATGTTCCACCTGGACAAGATTGTGCAGATGTCATTGAGCACATCGACATGGCATGTAGCCAATGGAAAAGAGACAGACAGTTGATGAGCACAGCACCAATGCCAGCAAGACAGCACTGTGCACACTAGCAAGGGCCACACTCCCACTCAGCCAGGCACCACTCAGGTGCAAAGGATCACCTTCAGCAATATGGACTAGAAAGAAATGCCACGTCCATTGCAGCATTGCTAACAACAACACACTGATCATGGCACCTGGCTCTACTGCATTCACATCATGTGCAGGTAACATGCAACAACTGTTGCGCTGTGTGCAAGAGACTCTTGGATGTGTTAGACAAAGCAAAATTCTCCACTGCACGCTCTGCGCTGACTGGCTGAGCGCAGGCTATATGTCACCAGCTAAAGATTCCAAATTCCAAACAGAGCATTCCATGAACTGTAGCTGATGCGCTGTCCAGTTGTGTGAGCTGGCAATGACAGATGAGCCTGACTATTGCGTGTATGTAGGTCAAGGCACAGACTACCCTGCACTGCTTTGCACATGAACGGGCAGTACACTCATTCAAATGCAATGTCTGGAGCATTTCGCACTGTAAACTGTGGCAGTACAGTGGCAGTACAGCCATGCCATGTCATCCCACGGTGCTGCCAATTACGGTTTCTGCACTGCAGAGCACTGCGGCCTCACCGCTGATTGATATGTACTCCATCTGAACAAGCCCAGCAAAGGCCTCCGCGTACAGAAAGAATTCTTCCCTCTTTGCATCTACTGGTCTATTGATCACCAGCACTTGCATCACCTGAAGCCACAAAATGCTTGTCTCACCACTGCAGGCAATTTCCAAAAGAAATGAGACAGCAGCGCGGTGATGGGCATGGCTGCAATTCAGACCAATGGGCAGACAGCCACAGTGGATGTTCCCAAATGGAGACAAGGCCCATGTCCTTCAGTCCTTTGACAAGTTTGTGCGTGAGCAAGCAAACGTCTGGGCCCATGCATGTGTGTGCTTCTACGCCTGTCATCGCCTCTGAGGTGCAATGGATGTGTTCTGTCATCGGTACACAGCTTTATCGCAAGCAATTCAGGAGTCCCATGAGAAACTTTCCGTGGTTGAGGCACCTGGCACAAATACTCTCAAGCCTGCCAGGAACCAAGGCATTCAAGTTTGCACAACTTTGGTTTTAGATTGCACCTGCTGACCAACCGAGGCAGCAGCAGTGCAGTGTCAAACTTCAACATGGAAAGCAAAGATTACTGCCGGGTGGGTGGGGGATGGGGGATGGAGGCACCCCTTATTAAGCAAGCGCTTGTGAGATCCTTTTCCACCAGGCAAAATACACTACAGCAGCAACGAAGAGCAGCAACATGGCACACAACAGTCAATTATTTCACACTGACGCAACAGTTTATTGCCCGTTTCTCTCCAGCGAAGATGCATTACTGCAGCGATCGAAACGTTCCTTGTTATGGTGCTCACCGTGCTGATGAGCTTGTCTCGCAGCTTTGTCCGGTAGGGGTCCATGAGCTTGGGAATGAGCTGCAGGAAGGGCAACTACAAGAGTGCACAGAGGGTACACATCGGCATTTAGGACACCTGCCAAAATACGACCAATCCCTGCTCTTTCACAGCATAGCGATTTGAGAGCTGGTCATACACAAAGTGGCATTTCACAAAACTATATATAAATTCACGCCATTCTCAAGCATGCACAGATAACAACACATCAGAGGCAAAAGTTGTCCAAGCACTGTCTGGAACATCTCCTTCAAGAACCGTTACTTCAAGAATCTACCACCAGCAGCTGTGCTAAGTACGTGTGCCCATTTTGGATGCTGTGGTGTCACAATCGACACAACAGACATGTTTCTACCGCTGTCAGGGCGAACAGATGGCAACTCTACCAAACCAAATGCAATTAATGTCTCTTGAAGCCGAATTTAACAGATGCCTCTGTATGCATCTGCCGGTATATGTGTGTCCTGTCCACCTTGCCATGTACCCGATGTGCTTCCCTGTTTACCCCCTGAATTTTGGCACTTACAACACTCTGGCTCCGGCAGACATACTCTTGATTGAAGGTCACTTCAAGGAACGCCTTCTCAAGCTCATCGAATCTGGACTCCTGGGAACCCACGGACGTGTCATGCAGAATAGTTGTTACATCGGCTGCAACCTGCACATATCGTCCACAGTTGCCATTCAGTGCAGCGGCAGGGCATAAATGCTGTTCTGACAAGTGTGATCATATACAAACACGACTGCAAGTATATATACATATATCTTAGCAATATGACCATGGGTTGTTCATGTAGTTATGTATTTGTCTGTTTGTTTGTTAATATCTATTCACACATTCTTTATGTGTTTCTCTTTCCGTCATTCGCTTACCATCTATTAATTATCATATCATACTGCCTTTTCAAATATTAGGTGATGTTGGGTGCTGCTCACAAGTTGTTTTCCTTCCAAAATATTTCAACAAATTTGAGGCCAGGTGCCGCCTCCACCCCAACACAAGAGAAGCAGGTCTTGTACCACCTCACAAGACATTCCAAGGCTATGTGCATGGAAAATACTGACAATGACCCAACGCATGCAATAACGAAAAGGAAGGGTCAAAGAAGTTGCCAGAAGTGTTAGTCACTGGTGGATTTTTTCTCATATCCTGTCGAACGAACGCAGTGCTGCATTGCCAGGTCTGGCAGGACAGGTTTCAATAGAAATCGTGCTGGACGCACCAATAAGAAAGCATGCATACTGTTGCTGTTTTCATTTCCGCTAAGCGTCTGCTTCAAATGATATTTGTAACTATCTCCACGGAACAATGCAGACTCAACGCAAGCATCACATCAATTTATCATCAGCATGCCACACAGAACATTTCGTGCTTAGCACAAAAAGGCCCCCCAACTTTCAGTGAACACCAGCTCACCCAAAATCGAAGAATGGCACCAATGGTCCAGAAAATGGACAGCAATACAATAAGCGCATTTATGCCTCCTTTCAATCGAACATCAAGAGTTCCAGGCAAGATTCATGCAGCAGCATGTGCTGAACATGTCCAGGGCCACAATGAATGCAAGGACAGAAGGATGGACGCTGCAATTGGCTAACAGAAAGCCACATGGATTTTCCAGCAACAGCAATAGTTGTTTGCTTGCAGTCTGCCTCGCTAAGTTGCGCATCAGCATCTCCTGGGTAACGTCACCATCCAAAGTGCTACAAACCAAATAGCACTTCCCAGCACATCTGCCCCTCTTGGGCCACCAGTCAAGTACAAGCACACCATGGCCTAAAGGAACAAGCAACCGAAAGGACATACCCAGTTTGGGAGGAACAGTGTGCTGCACAAGCTCCTGGTGTTGGCCATTTCTTTCTTTCTTTCTTTTCTTTCGAATGGCGTGAAGGACAAAGCGTAAGGCAGCTTCTTTGTGTGCCCTTCCTTTCGCGCTGGAAGGGCACTGAATCCTCTTCAACACCGAAGAAGAGAACCTCGCAAAACGGTTCCCGGGGCGGGGGGTGTGGGGGCACATCGCTTGACATGCGCCCTGCCCCACCAACAAGCACACCTTCGCCCCAGGGGGACGGCCCACCTCGGCCGGCGACGCAACGACGAGCTCTTGCGCCACAGGATCATTCCAGGCACTGCATTGACACCCGCGGGGGTCAGCGCAGTGCACTGCTATACACATATATGGAGACTCTGACTTGCAAGCCGCGAAATACTCATCCCCTTCCACAAAACGCGAACGAACGAGCCAAAAGCCTCTCGCAGGAGAGGACGGCACCCGTGGCTCCTCGCGCTCCCCTCTCCGCCTAAAACAACGGCCTCGGGCATCACGGGGCATGGCCAATCGGCGTGGGGAACGCGCGACACAGTCAACGGCCCACCCCAAGGACCCAACAGGCCCTCCAAGCGCTCCCCTAGGCGACATCCTCTGCGATTTCGGCGATGGTATCGGCCACCTAGCCTCCTGAGAGCGATCGCTCCGCGCCCCTCCCCTTAGAGGTTTGCTCGTTCGCTTCCCGGGCGCCACGGCCCCGGAACCGCACAATGTACTGGTAGCGGGATGGAAGCAGGTGGCCGGCCCCGGGCCGCAGACCTGGTCTAGGCGCGACGGGTCCACGAGCTTCTCGATCAGGCCGCGCAGCACCGCCCCCGGATCCTTCACCGCGGGCGCCGAAGCGCCCACCTCCTGCGCCAGCGACCTGCGGGATGGCCGAGCAACAACACAGCGTTCAGCGAACCGGCCAGGCGTCGTCAAGGGGGCATAAAAGATGTATACTCATCGCCGGTTGCGTAACGGCTCCGGAAACTCGCAAGGCATCACCGCTCAGCGCGGTTCGGCCATTCCGCTCTGCACCGCTGGGCACGGTGTGGCGTCCTTGAAGAAAATGCATGGGAAGGATCGGATTGTGGGCCAATTGAGAGATCGCGGCGCCCGGAGGCGCACGAGAGGGTCGCGGCCCGCCGGCGGCACCGCCACGGGGCGTCACGGCGCACGCGCCTGAGCAACTTGAACAGCTCCGTGGCGAGCGCCACCTCTTCGGGCTGGATCTCCACCTCGATGGAGAGCTTCATCCTCGCGGGCCTCGCCGAGATCGGCGGCGGGATCGGGCGGAGGGCCCGGCGGGCGGCGGGCCCCTGGGATGCGGATGGCGCCGCGCGGCTATCGCTGAAGAGAGGCGAGGGAGGTGAGGAAGGTTGGGCGCGCTGACCGTGACCGCGGTCGCGTGTTGGCGGTGGGCCTTGGAGGGGGGCGCCGGGAGCGGGAGCGGGCTGCAGCGGAATGGAAAGTACTGGGGTGCGGGTTTAAAAAATTGGAGAAGTGGCCGGGAGGATGCGGGGCAGGGGGGCAGGGGAAGGAGGTCGTCTCCAGGGAGGAACACGGGCCTTGATGGCAAGTGCGTGTTGGGTTGGGCTCCGCTGTGTACAGCTGCAAAAATGGCCTGCGAAAAGGATGACGCGGTGTGGAGGCTACGGCTGGCGGGCAAATTCGCTGCGCTCCCGAAAAGGGACACGGGGAATACAAAGGGCACCCCGTTGTGAGCAAGTGCGCATGAGACTCTTTTCCATGCTGTATATAGATGATGTGGATTCTCCAATGCAAGAAGAAGAGCACACAGCACAGGCAGCACAGAGAGAAACAACATGAAAAAAAAGGGGGGAAGGGGGGGGGGGGAAGCTTATTCGATTTACTGCATTGACGACTGGCAAAGATGCGGGCTGCTTGGATAGGTCGCTAATTGGTTCGCCTTCGGTGAGAGGCCGTCGAGTGGCGGCGCTCCAGGAACAGGAAGGAGGCAACGGAATCATCAACAGATTTCAAACAGCGATGTTCCCTTGCCAAGCCATCCATCCAGTCCGTTCAACACGAAAATATTACGACAGCGCCACACATTGCAGTGTCCATTGACCACCGTCTCTTTGAGTTGATCACTTGTGTAATTGACCAGTGAAGCGTAACCACCGTGCCAACTGTATGCTCTGCTTGGTATGGCCCAAGGAAACCGGCACGGCTGTTAAAAGGAGAAAGGAAAGTACAGGAGAAGAAAGAGTCGCGAAGATTGGTCAGACATGGGAGGCTGTGGGGTTGGAATACAGATCGAGAAAAAGCTGAGCCGAAAATGTTTAACTCACGCAAGTAGTCGAAGAGATTACCTCGCGCATTCACACAAGCCTTCACACCGCTGATCAAGTTGCCGAACTTGTCAGGAACAATTTGAATCTGGTACGTCAATGGACGCATATTCCGTGTGCGGCCGATATTTTTGCGCCAGAATACAATTCAAACAACAAGTGAATGGGTCGCGTTTTGTCGCAACTGATGTGAGCTCGGAAATGTGGCCCTTGCGAAAACCACTCTCACCTTCTCGCCTTCTCAGGAAAGCTGTGCCGCGTTGGTGCTCTTTCCCTGTTCCCAACGAGCCACGTCTTCAGAAGATCACTTTTGGTTTGCATGCACGTTCCCAAACGTAAATGTCTTGAATCGTGACCAATTCATAGGCCCTCCATGACAACATTGTCGTGTTGGTAGAGCACCAGAGCAAACCACAGGGTGTTGGCATTAAGTTGTTTCGAGATTGAGGATGAATTGTTCAAGCGACTTGTGCACCCGCAACTCAGTGGCCATTTTGCACCACAAAAGGGGGGTTTCAGCGGGGTGGTGTTGTGCGTAGGAAAGGGGAGGATAAGGAAATGTGTTGTCCTTTGCGTGTGTCTTGCACGCGTCGAGACAAACTATGCAGCCTGCGTCTTCTTCGCAACCCTCGAACGATAGCCGACATTCCGCATTGTGAACTTTGCAATGTGATCCATCGCTCAACTCGTTCTCCATCACACCAACGTTTGCAAAGCAATTTCTCTCAGAGCCTCACACGCGCGCGCGCCGGCACACCCAAAGGCTCCAACGCGAATAGCTTCCTGCGTTCATTAAAGCAACCATGTCATTCTTCCATTCATCCATCCTCTTCCTCACAGTTTAGAACGAGATTTCCAGAAGCAAGCGTTCAACCGACTGCTCCGAGTTCCCTTCCCACACCCTTTTTGCCACTCCTCTCCCCTCTGGCGGCCGCCGCGGAGGCGCGAGTGGCAATTCGCTGTCAGCAAATCATCAACTCACAGCGCAGCCTAATGGGCGCATCAACCTGCGCTCCCATTTGCAGCTGCCCTGTTCATTCCGGTGTTTCGCGTCGCATCTCTCAAGGGGAGCTTCGCAACGAACACCCCCCGCATAAATTATCTTATCCCCCGTTCCCCGGGCCGTCAGCCCGCACACCTGGCAACAAAATATACAACGAAGCGGTACTCAGGGCTGGCCTCCAGTTCTGCTGTCAAGATGCCTTATTCTCCAAATGTACACGGCCTGAGTAGACCCCAGCCTCGAGAAAACAATGGCTATTCAGAGGCAGTTCGCAACAGTTGCCGATTTCACCAGTTTCAGCTCTTCTACGATTCTACTGACGACGAGCGATCTCCAGCCTACCTACTGACTAAGCCGTCACCATTCTTTCTCCCTCTTTCGCTCCCCGGGAAACGACACTCCAGGCCGACCGCACCCCACGCCAACCGCTGCTCCTTTCGGTCGTCAGAACATGCAACATGCCTATGCCGGCGTCTAATGGCGTCACACATTATTGTACGCGCGCCCTCTAAAGCCGGACTCACCCCCAACACAGTACCCATTTGTCCCCCGAGCATTTCCAAACTGCGCCGCGGCTGTGCCGCGGCCCTTGCGCCATCGAGTCGCGCTTTCAGACGGTAGAGATTCACAATGCAACAATCCATTTCAGAATTTTGTTTTTGAGTCGAAAGTATGGCAAATTGGGTTTCCCCCACCACGCAGCCGGCACATGCCCACGCTGTCATCTCAAAAAAACGGGATCCACGCGACATCAAGGCGCCACGCATCAGTCAGTCAACTTCCTTTCATTGAGGGCACCAGGTAGGCACCTAATTGACGCGCATCCAGATCAGCATGTCTCCCGGTCCCAGTGCCACCGGACGATCACCGTACAACCGTCGCAAATCCACCGCACACACGTCACGCGCCCCCGCCGCGTTCCCTTCCGTAATCGTTTGCACATACGCAATATTCGTTACACAACCCTGCTGCAAGTCGAGGGCCTTGGACAGGGCCGTCATTCATCAATGTCACATGGTGGCCCCAGCAGCGTGCGGGACCTTGCTCTTGGGCGGCGGTAAATACAGGAATTCCACGCCCTCCACCGTCTGGATGGCATCCACTCGGCGCCCTATAAAAAATCAGTGACGTCATCACACAAATTTCCAGGCAACCCATTTCATCAAACCAGCACATTTCCGGCCGGTTGCAAGCTACTCGCGGCATCCATGTGGCCAGTCCGACCCCGCGGACAAGCACACTCAACTGTTTACACCTGTAACGAAATCATTCGGGCGATCTTTGATAAATTCTTGAGTAACAACTTGGCCACAATCTTGAATGCACCGCACCATCAGGGGCTTAGCACTGCGTACCTCATGTCTTGTTACGCTGCAGCGTGCTTTGGAGCCATCGTGATGAGCATGAAACGGCCACGCAGGGTGCCGCAAAGACCCCACCCCACACCCCTCACCCCACACCCCACCCTCTTTGTCTGGGAAACGCTGGGCAGATGAGGGCATCAAACGGCCCCGTGTTTCGACGGCGCCCCCAAAGTTTCTCCGGCTTCCCCACAGTTTCTCCGGCTTGGTCGCATCATGGAATTGCCGATGAACGAGGTTATTGCAATAAATGGCCAAACAACGCGGTGAGGGATCCTCAACTCCGACCCGTTGCAATGCACGGCACACTGCTCATCACCGACTTCCACATACCAAGACTCAAGAAAGCGTCCCAATTGGGGTGATGTTGGACACTTATGCCATTTTTCGACCCAGTTATGCGAATAATGCCCAATTGCACATGAACACACGCAGCATGTTTGCGCCCTTTTCATGCAATTTTTCAACTTCTCATACGTTTTAATGAGCTGCGTTAGAGCGCCTCTTCGACTTTTATCAGCGTCTACTTGTGCTACTTTCTCAACGCCTCACCAGCGTGACTCCCCTCAACCAGCTGCTTGTAGCGAGACACTGCGGCCAAGAAGATGGAGAGGGCTTGCCTGATTGACTGGGGCGAGCCCTGCAAGGAAGAGAGTGCGTGACGTCATCAGATCAAATCTCAAGGTCCCCGAAACAACCTCGACATGACGAGCTGTTTCACGCAAGCAAGGCGGCCCCCTTGTGCACGCGTCGAATAAAACAACATTGCGTTGAAAATTTAAACAAGTTAAGGGCGTCTCTTCGCAGCGGGCCTCCATACGTTTAGGAACAAACAATTGGGGTTCTTGTTATTTCGTCGCATTCAAGCACATTCCAGGGTCCTCGCGCGGACTATTTTCTCATGCTCGCGCCACGTTGAATCAATGGCAAATATTTCATTAATTTCGCAGGCACCCAAAGACGTTTTGCAGCGCGTAATTTCACCGGCACCAAAAGGTCTGTGTCTCAACTCATCGAGACGGGCGGGCAGGGACAACATGGAAAATAGGCGAGCGTGCGCACCGAGATGGCAAACACGCGGACTCTACCGCCGGCTTTGCGTTTTGGCGACTTTGGCAGCATCCACGAAGATATCTCGGCGCCTGTCCTCTCAACGATTTCACGGATTGAGCTGCCTCCAGAGCCTGTCACACACGGCAGCAGTTTATTCCGGCTGTCTTGAAGCCCAATACCGAAGTACACTGAGCTGAAGGCGCTGCGGCAGAGTCCTTGCAAAGGCGACACGCACGCGATATTCCCACATAATTCTGTGCCGATTCTGTGCCGATTCTGTGCCGATTGTGAAAACGTTAGGGCGCTGCAACAGACTCAGCAAGCATGTTCTAACACCATGTGAACCCCGGAAACATGGCCTCCCGCACGTGGCATCCAACAAGTCATCATCCATTTCAGTGCCATTTAAAACGTTGCAAACGTTGGCGTACGTTCTGGATTTCTGAATTCCGAAACTATATAGCAAATAACAGCAATACTCCTTCTTTCTAACCTATAGCAATCTGTAGCATTTATAGCGATGC